CAGTCGGGAATGAGAGAGGGGTTGGATGGGGGGCGGGGCAGTCAGGGGCAGGGGTTCCCGGGCCAGTCAGGGGACAGGGAGAAGGGATGGTTGGATGGGGCAGGGATTCTGGGGGGGCAGTCAGGAATGAGAGGGGGGTTGGATGGGCCGGTGGGGGCAGGCAGAGGTTCCAGGGGCGGTCAGGGTGCAGGGGGTGTGTGGATGGGGCAGAGGTTCTGGGGGGGAGCAGTCAGGAAACAGGGGGGTTGGATGGGGCAGGAGTCCCAGGGAGCGGCAAATGGTAGGGTCCCTTCATACAATTTCCAAAACCTGATGTGGCCCTCAGGCCAAACAGTTTGCCCGCCCCTGTTCTAAACTGAGCACTGAGTCCTATTGGGTAGATAGAAAGATTATCCTAAATCAGGGGTAGGCAACCTATGGCACGGGTGCCAAAGGCGGCACACGAGCTGATTTTCAGTGGCACTCCCACTGCCCGGGTCCTGGCCACTGGTCCGGGGGGCTCTGCATTTTAATTTAATTTTAAATGAAGCTTCTTAAACATTTTAAAAACCTTATTTATTTTACATACAATAATCGTTTAGTTGTATATTATAGACTTACAGAAAGAGACCTTCTAAAAACGTTAAAATGTATTACTGGCACGTGAAACCTTAAATTAGAGTGAATAAATGAAGACTCGGCACACCACTTCTGAAAGGTTGCCGGCCCCTGATCTAAACCATCCCTGACAGGTGTTTGTCTAACCTACTCTTAAGAAGCTACAATGATGGAGGCAATTTATTCCAGTGCTTAACCATCCTGACAGGAAGTTTTTCCAAATATCCAACTTAAACCTACACTGCCCTTGCTGCAGTTGCTTCTAGTCCTAGACTCAAAGGTTAACGAGAACAATTTTTCTCCCTTCCTCTCTCTCTTGTAACAGTTTTTAAGTACATAAAAGGTTATGTCCCCTTTTAGTCGCCTCTTCTCCAGACTAAACAAACCCAGTTTTTTCCATCTCCCATCATAGGTCATGTTTTTTAGACCTTTAATAATGTTGATTGCTCTTCTCTGGATTGTCTCCAATTTAGAGAAATGTGGTGCCCAGAAATGGACACAGTACTCCAGTTGAGGCCAAATCAGCATGGAGTAGAGTAGAATCATTATTTCTTGTCTTGCTTACAAAACTAGCGGCACTATGCCAACCGAGGATTCCTCTCTGCTAGGGACTCCTCCAATGGTCAGATCTTCTAGCTCTGAGATATCAGTCTCTGTGCCACCAGAGCAGTGCAAAGCAGCCACAGGCGCACACAGGTGAATGGAGGCTTATGTCTTTGATTCTAGATTTACAGTCAATATAAGGCATTGCTCTCACGAAGATCGGGGGGGGGGAGGGGGAATTCAATTATAATATATAATGAAGACCTGTATAACTTTTTAAAATTTGTTGTTTTCCCCTGCTTGTTGTTTACTTCCGACATAGCATGACTATCAAGGCTGGTCTCCTTTGCATCTGCTGGAGGACTTAGGCCAGGGGTAGGCAACCTATGGCACGGGTGCCGAAGGCGGCATGCGAGCTGATTTTCAGTGGCACTCAGGCTGCCCGGGTCCTTGCCATCGGTCCAGGGGACTCTGCATTTTAATTTAATTTTAAATGAAGCTTCTTAAACATTTTAAAAACCTTATTTACTTTATATACAACAATAGTTGAGTTATATATTATAGACTTATAGAAAGAGACCTTCTAAAAACGTTAAAATGTATTACTGGCACACGAAACCTTAAATTAGAGTGAATAAATGAAGACTTGGCACACCACTTCTGAAAGGTTGCTGACCCCTGTCCTAAATAATCTGTACAGAAGCCCCGGGAAGCCCATAAAATTGGGTCCCTGATCCATGAACTATGGGAACTCATTTACAAAATTTTTCTTAAACATAACATGAATATATTGTCTCATACTACAGACTTATAATTTATAATCTCTATTCCATTATGAGATATCTTTGAGCTATAATGTATCTTAATTAAAACTATCTTGAGATAGGTTTTTTCTTCAAAAAGCATTTTATGAAAAAAATCCGATTTAAATAAAAAAATCTGATTTTTTGTATTTACTTTTTTAAAAAATCATTGATTTTTATCCACCCTGGTTTTCATTTAGAGATCTATTGGGGAGCTGGTTCGTCCTCCATCACAGGATAGGGCAGTCCAAAAGACTAACTTCTGTCCTTGTTGCAGTGGCCTGTAGGGGCCATTGCGCTGGTATAGAATTGCCAGGGTGTAGGATCACGCAGTCACTCCCCCATCCATGCAGGATTCTCCCAGAGCCTCAGCAGGTGATACAGTCTCCTATGTGTGTGGGGGGGTGTAAAGTTGGCTCTCTGGCTCCTGCACAGGGCCTACTGTGCACATGTATTCCCCATGGAGAGGGGCAGGGGAAACCCTTTATGGGTCCTATGCACTAGCTGGAACAAAGGGGCCACAAGCCATGGGTGAATTCTCCTATTCAGTAGTGTATACTGCATATAGTTTCACTTTAATGGAGTTTTTCAAGCGCTTATGATCATTATTTAGACCTTCATTTAGCAAGGCACTTAAGCATGTGCTTAGCTTTCATGACGAATAGCTGCATTGACTACAGTTGGGCTATTGTCATGCCTCTATCTAGACATATTCTTAAGTGTCTTAATGAATAGTGGCTGCTAACAAACATTGTTCTTAGTGCTGTACAGACATTGGAAAGAAAGCTAGATCCTGCAAACTCTTACTAACAGGTGTAGTCCCACTGAAGTCAGACTTAGGCTCCAAAGCCCATTGAAATCAATGAATGTCTTTCCATTGACTTCAGTGGGCTTTGGATCAGAATCTAAATGTTTGTGGAATAAGGGCCTAAATTAGTCATAGGTAATACAGTTCAACCATGCATAACATATTGAAAGGGAAAACCATTAATTATGTTCGTCATAGTCCAAGAAACAGAACATTGAACTTAAGCTGCACAAACTACGTCCATAAAAATAACTTCTTGTTCCCTCTTGGAAGCAAGGGAATTTAATTTCGGAAATATAAATTTTGGAAAACTAGAGACAGAAGTGATTGTCTCAGTATGTCTACACATTATTTGGTGCTTTTCTCTATTTTTTTCTTTTGTTCTTTATCATGGTGTATAAGGATTCTTTTTTTAATCACTGTCCATCCAGAACCTACTTTTGAAATAAGATGTTGTTTTGTGCTTGGGCAAGAAAGTAATACCCTTTCTTATCTACTGTTTAATTTTTCTTTAGATTTAGCCCTTTCATTGTACAAGGTTGAACGTTTTCCTTTTTTCTAAATATCTGATATCACTTTTTAATCTCAGCAGGTGATACATGCTACTTTCTTATCAGCCCTGAAGATGTTGGATGTTGGAAAATGGCCAATTTTTGCTCTCTGCTCTCAAGAAGAACTGAAGTTAATTCGTCAAGCCTGTGTATTTGGCAGTGCTGGTAATGAAGTGTTGTATGCAACTGAAAATGATGAGGTAATTATCAGAGAAAGTGTATATTAATGGAATATTATTTGGTAACTATTTGATTAATTATTAATTCAGGATAGATTAGCAGTGAAGCCAGAATTATGATAATAGACCCTGGAGAAGTATCATACATTAATTATTGAATAAAGAAAGTTTAGGATGGATTATTTTAATTTAAATGGTAAATGTTACAGTAGTAATAAAGAACTTGCTACATTAACAATAAGATTTTATAACAGGTGTTTGTGCTTGGCACCAACTGCAGTGGCTGTTTGGGAACAGGCGACATTCAGAGCACTATTGAACCACAGAGATTAGATACTTTATGTGGCAAAAAGATAGCCTGTCTGAGCTATGGAAGTGGTCCCCATGTTGTTGTTACTACTGCAGGTAATGTGTGGTGAGAATATTGTATTTTTAAAATGTGTGCCTTCTTCAGTTGGCCTGATTATTTGTGAGAGACCTGAATTGTGAGAGTGAAATGGACAATCCTGTTTCTTAGACTGATATAGTATTAGTGAAAATGCAAGGGTATAGATTCTGTGGAAGGATTAATAATTATTCTCTAGTTCATATCAAAATAGATATCTGATGAAATGGTACATCAAACATTTATTTAACCTTTCTGATAGGATGCTATGGCTCCTAAAACACTTCAAAATATACTTTTCAAGGATACAAAGTGGAGATGGCATATTTCAAGAATACTACTAATAATTAATATATTATTAATTATTATTTATTAATAAATAATGACAGTGTTATCTGAGGAACTCATAGTACTTTACAAAGAATGGAAAGTATCATTATTCTGGTTTTGACGAGAAAACCAAGGCACAGGGACAAATTAATTGACCAAGGCCAGAAGTGGCAGAGCTAGGAATAGAATTCAGGTCTCATCTGACTCCCATTCCTATGTCCTCTCTTCTGGACCACACTATCTCCTATCACTTTCTTTTAATGTGATTCTCTTGGTATTACACTTTTAGACATTTATTGAACACTGGGGGAATAATAGCATTCTTGTGTACAGGGGACTAATAGCCTAAGGGGCATATAAATACTTAGATAGGAAGTGTGCAGCATTGTTGAACTTGACTTTTTCATTTTCTGTCATCTTGTGATGCATCGTCATTAGATAAGTAGATGTTTTAAAGATGATTTTTCACACTTTTATTATAGAAGGAGAAGTGTACACATGGGGCCATAATGCTTATAGTCAACTGGGCAATGGTACAACAAATCATGGTTTAGTTCCCTGTCAAGTCTCTACTAACTTGGTAAACAAGAAAGTAATTGAAGTTGCCTGTGGCTCCCACCATTCCATGGTGTTAACATCTGATGGAGAGGTGAGAATAGTTAGCATAAATCTGCATAAACTGCGTTTTCCTTTGTATGGAATTTATTTAGGATGCTGGAAACAGAAAAACATACAATACCTAGCACAATGGGACCTGGCCTGGCTGTCCTCTAGGTGCTGCTGTGATATAAATATTTAATAATAATTGGAAGATCTGAGGTCTATCAATGTTTGTCCACCTACAATTACAGGAAGTTGCTTATGGGATAGCTGATCCTAATGAAAGACCAGCACTTGATATTGCAAAGGCTGGCTAAAAATATCTGTGACCTCTCCCATTATGCCCTGCTGTGAAAAATTTGTTCACACCATTAAATTTGGCAGTAAATTAAACTCTGTGCAAATGTGGAAGGATCACCATAGTTAAATATCTAAACCCATTGAGGTACAAAGTATTGTTCTGTTACACTCTGAGATATCATTGGTGTCCAATTACTTGTCCTATTTTGTTTTCTTTCAGTATCTCTGTAGACAAAGAATCACAAGTATACTTATTTTGTTTTCTTCCAGTAACTCTGTAGACAAAGAATCACAAGTATACCCCACAGGATGCATAATCTTTGATAGTAGGGAAGGATTTCTTCTTGTTTTTTTAACTAGTCGAGCATTAGAAATTAGAGTTGAAAGGAGTGACAGATTTCTGGAAGAAAATAAAAAAGGAAACAAACATTTCTGTGTCTTTCCTAGATGCACAGAAAATAATTGCTGTAGTCTTGTAATCCACATATGTTTAGAATATATTTTTTTAATATGTGCAGTTTATCTAACTTGGATATTTGGTTAAAGTAATATGTTACAGGGAATAATATGTTATTCTGTTAATGACTCTTCTATAACAGGTGTATGCATGGGGTTATAATAATTCAGGACAGGTTGGATCTGGTTCAACAGCTAATCAGCCAATTCCTCGAAGAGTTACCAGCTGCCTACAAAATAAGATAGCTGTTAATATAGCTTGTGGACAGATGTGCTCAATGGCTGTTGTAGAAAATGGGGAGGTAAGAATGTTCTTAAAGTTAAAATATTTTTTTGACTGAATTTTATTTTATTCAGCATTATTGGCTACAAATTGTTGATCGTATCTACCTTTGCAAGCACTATCACAGTTAAAACTGCTGAGAAAAGTAATATTAATCTGTAACTTCCAAAATCTGGTAATCTGTACTGTTATAAGAAAGTTTTCATCAGAAATTGTCCCACTTGTTCCCACTGTCCCCACCACATATATAAACATATCATCTGAGAGATACTTTACCCAAATTAGCTAAATTTACCCCTTTCAGAACAAATCTCTGCAGTAAACGGAAAAGAATTCATTTAAAATTAATTAATTACATTCTTTTAAGAATAAATATTTGAACCCAACATTAATTTTTGAGATTCTAATCCAATGGTTCCCTAACTTTTTTAACTAACGTGACCCACCAGCTGTATTTTGTCTTTTTTTTGCAATCCACCATTATATATGTGAATATATATAATGCACCCTCCGCCTGCACCGCAACCCTAAAACTGGTGTGCAGGAGAAGCCGCAGGGAATATGGGGGTTGGAAAGTAAGCCTGCAATGGTGGCTCCTGTCCCACAGGGCTGGGCATGACTCCTCACTCCCGAAACATGGGGTCTCAGCGCCACTCAGGTTTGGTCTGGCCACCTATCCATCGTGACAGAGGGGTGGCTTGGCCTAATTTGAGTGAGTGACACTGCAAACCGTGTGCTAGGGTGCAACCCTTGGAGCTGTTTAAAGAAACTGATAGACTTAGTGCCTGGACTGGTTATTTCCTGGAGGCATTTCTGCTGTTACCTTTCATAATTTCCCATTCAACTTTTCAGATAATAAACATTCTGCTAGTAAGTCAGCATACACTAGTCAGAAATCCATACAGAGTCATCTGATAACCATCCAGCATATTTTCTGTCTTAAGAACCTGTGCGGCTGAGCTTTCATATGGCTCTTCTTTCCCGTTACTCCCTGTTGCTTGTACACTTGAGACCTAGTGCTCCCACTTATACCTCCCATTCGATTACTAGAGAGTGTGTATAGTGTCCCTTTGTCATTCAAGTGGTTGGTTGCTTCCTCACCTGGAGGTGTTAGAAGAAGCAATTCTTTGGGCCATAGGGAGAAATATATCACGACTGGATCCTTGTGAAGCAACTCTCAACCATGTGCTGCTTTTAACAGCAGAAGAATCAGGCAAGGGAGAGTTTTTCAAACCTCTGCCATTGCCAGATTCTTTTCTCTGCCCCACCTCCCCCTAGGTTTTCCCCCCACCTGCCCAGGGACTTCAACAGCCTAACCTCTGCTTCTCTGGAGGAAGGGGGAGGAGCATTGTTCCCCCCTCCCTACGGGGGTGGCCTAATGTTCCCCACAGGCTGAGTCAAGGTGAACAAAATTCCTTCTCCCACTTTGCTCAGGGTCTATTACATTTTTACAGACTATCAGGCAGTCAATGATTGCAGGAAAAAGTCTCCCCTCCTTCCTGGCAACAGTTACCTTTGTCATCTCCCAAACAGATGTCTTACACCCTACTTGGTCATTTCCCATCCTAGGGTGGATGTCATAGTTTTTGCAGTACACCACAGCTGCCGCAGTGTCCCTACTTTTGGATGAAAATACTGCATTCACCATGCTCTGTACTTCCCCTGAGTGCCTGGTAATAGTAGGCAGAGAGCTTATTTCCCTGATCTAGGCTTTAGGACCCAGAGAATTCCACTTCAAGTCAGTAGGTCTTATCAATCCTGCTGCTCAGGTATTTGTTTGCATACACTGAGAAAGTAACTTGATTCCTCTTGGATAGCAGAGATCCATCCCTGTCAGCTATCCCATTAGCATTTTGGCTAACACAATCTATTGTGTTACTCCTCATTCTTTTTGCTGATACAGACTAACACGGCTACCACTCTAAAACAATCTCTTGCCACTCTGGGACTAACAGAAGAGACGTGATTTATCTTTTCTGCTTTGAAACCACAATATTATTCCCCAAAAGCAAAGAATATGGAATATGTTACAATATACCTTCAACCAGCATCCCAGACTCTTCCTGGGTCTGTACAGAAATCTGCATGTAGAGTGAAGGCTTTTATACCAGGAACTTTAACCCACATTACACATCCTGGCAGCGTTTCATGTGTTTCACAACATGGGGCTTAACTGTCATCTTAGTTCTAAGAATGAGGAGTACGTGTCGCACCTTAGAGACTAACAAATTTATTTGAGCATAAGCTTTCGTGGGCTAAGACTAACACGGCTACCACTCTGAAACCTATCACTATCTTAGTTCTAGTATCTCTCCATCTAGTGTATGTCTCCCCATTGATTACCATCTTCCACTCCCACTGGCTATGCCATGGATCTGCACCCAGGAGGGTGCAGCATGACTTGTAGACAAAGGATTGGGGTGTAAATGGTTCAGTGTTAGCCTGTCTGCTGATGGCCTATAATGTTATGTGATTCCCTCCCTCCCTCTCTCAGTCACACAGATAATTCTGTGAGGTTGATGTTCAGCTGACATTTCTAGCACTGTACCTGGGACTCAGTGAGCAACCTGGGCAATTCCAAATAAAGTGACTCTGTTGGCCATATATGGCACACCGCTTTTCCCCATCGGTTTCCCTCCCCACTAGGTTTGGGTCTCAGTTTAGGCCCAGTCCCTGGACTCTGATCCCATTCCATGCCTGTTAGGTTTTCTATCAAACCGAGGATGACTATCCACATAATGGTCTGCCATTTTCACAGCTATAGTAATATCTCTAGGATTTGTGTTTGATTTCAGTTCAGGGTGGCGGAGTTTATAGAACTGTTTTATATCCATTAATTCGTAGGACTCATAGACCATTTTGACCCTCAAGCTGTTCCCCATTTCCTTACAGAACTCCTAATTAGAGTTGAAACCTCAGCATAGGTCATATCCCTTTCTTTTCTGAATTTCCTGAAACCTTCTCCTATGCATACGAAGAGTCAGTTTAAACTTTGTCACAAAAGCTTGTTTACAATTATTTTAATCTTTGTAATCCTCCCTTCCCATGAAGGTGAAAATGTCCAAGACCTTTGTCCCAGACAGTACTAGAGTCAGCTACTGTACCATGTCCTCCTTCCCCACCTTATTCAGTTCACACCCCATTTCGAAAGCAATAAGAAATATATCCATGTCATCCCCCTCCCTAAAGTGAGGAAGGATGAAAGGATGTGGACAAATTGGAGAGTCCAGCAGAGGGCAGCGAAAATTATCTGGGGGCTGGGGCACATGACTTGCGAGGAGAGGCTCAGGGAACTGGGCTTGTATAGTTTGCAGAAGAGAAGAGTGAGGGGGGATTCGATAGCAGCCTTCAACTACCTGAAGGGGGGTTCCAAAGAAGATAGAGCTCGGACGTTCTCAGTGGTGGCAGATGATGGAACAAAGAGCAATGGTCTCAAGTTTTAGTGGGGGAGGTCTAGGTTAGATATTAGGAAACACTATTTCACTAGGAGGGTGGTGAAGCACTGGAATGGGTTACCTAGGGAGGTGGTGGAATCTCCATCCTTAGAGGTTTTTAAGGCTTGTCTTGACAAAGCCCTGGCTGGGGTGATTTAGTTGGTGTGGGTCCTGCTTTGAGCAGGGGGTTGGACTAGATGACTCCTGAGGTCTCTTCCAACCCTAATCTTCTATGATTCTATGATTCTGAGTAATTTGGAGGCTATGCCACCCACTAGGAGAGGTACAGGAGGTATGGCTTTACCTACTGGATTAAGGATTTGAAGGCACAGTTTCTCCATCTCGAGCTGATATTGATGTTCCTTGTCCTTCTGTTTCTCCTCATACTAGCACTACTTCTGCTTTTCTTCTCTCTCATATTGATGTTGGCGCTTCTCATACTGGCACTGATTCTCTTTCTCTTATTTTACTTATGCTGCTGCTCCCAGTCTGAAAGCTGTTGGATTTCCAGATACACACTGTCCCTCTTCAGCTGCAGCCTCTCCTGCTCTAGTTGTTGAGCTATCTACAACTCCTGTTGCAGGGGTGTACTTGGCCTTCATAGTACATAGCTGCTGCCACTCTAGGTCTCTTCCCTGTTTCTCTCTAGGGATAGATTCCCAGATTTTTTTCACGTGCTGGAAGTTCCCTGCAGACCTAACCCATTATTCTGCTTCTGGTCATTAGAATTCAGCAAATTAACTAGCTGTGTTTTAGTATGATCCTCAGTGTTGAGTTGCCTTCCCCTGAATAGCCCAGACAGCTGATTTTTCTTCAGCTGTTTATAATTCATCTTGTCATCTCTCTTTTTGCTGTTCCTTTCCCAAAAAGACTATTGAGTCTTTTCTCTATGCTTTCCCCACTTCAGGTACTTGCTTCACTGATGTTGGCACTTATGCAGTTCACACTCTTACAGATCCCTGCACATTCTGCCACCATATATGCCACAGTCCAGGGCAACTGCACCTGTGTTCTCCCTTTGTGGTCCAGCAAGGGCACCCATTCTGTGCTTCCAGCTGCCCAGCCATTGCCTCTCTTGGACAAAGACACGAGTCTCTTGCCTTCTCACTGGGGTATTTCCAGGCTGAATAGTTCCTTGTGATATCCCCAGCAAAAGGCAGGCTGCCTGAGCAGGCTTCTTTTGCCTTCTCTTCAGAGATGGTTAACAGTGAGATTACCTGAGGGGTTAATCTACCACACAGTGCTTTCTAAGCAAGCACATTTTGTTCCTAAAAGTAAAAGCAATATAATGAAAACATATTAAAAACAATAAAAGAAGCTACTTGCATGGTAATAAGCTTATCAGAGATCACCCCAACTCCAAGAAGGGCTCTGGCAGGTGAGCAGTCCTTCCAACCCATCCAGGAGTTTTCCTGTGGCTTTCAGTTCATAACACCTTCTGCTCAGAACAAGAACACTGTCTTATGGGGCCTCAGTAGGCCAAAGTGCTTCCAATTCTTCCCTAAGGATTGGGGCCGTCTGTGGACCGGCGGTCCTATCCATTTGCTTTATCAGAAAGAAGGCCATGAGTCAGTTAACCAGTAGG